TTCCCCTCATATTTGAAATGAGGAAACTGGGTTCTGGAGAAGTTAAGTGGCTTGTCCAAATTTGGTGACAGAATTAGGACAATCCAAGTCTTTGACTCCCATCCAAGTGCAGCAAAGAACCTCAGTTTCCTCATGAAAACACACTTTCAAGAAAAGTTGCTTAACTTCTCCAAATCTTAAGTTTACGCTTATAAGAGAATAGAACAAGATCATCCCCAAGTTTTCTTCAATCTCTGAAATCTGGTGAATCTAATTTTCATAATGTATAATACCAAATGTCCCCAACATTGTGTGGGGATAGAAAGCTGCTCTCATCTTCCTGTCAAAAATATAAATGTGGAGGAGGTACATGAAGAAAGGGTTGGGTCTACTGATGAGGAAGCAAGAGAAACAATGGTGGGAGGAGTAGGCCTCTATTGGGAACCCCCTCTCTTCCCAACCCCCAGCCACTCCCTCCTAGCAAACCTCAGCAGGTAGGATGGGGATTTTCCAATAGCTAACACTGCTGCAGCCTCTGCAAGTTCCCCCCTCAATCCTTAGAACTGGTGGGAAGGAGGAGGGAAAGAACAAGGATAAAGGGATGGGTGTCTGGAAGCTTCTAGCTCCAGGTCAGTTTAGGAAACAGCTGATGCTGATTAGCTGTTGGGGACCCCCAGGGTGGGTAGGGAATCCCCAGGTGGCCACTCACCTCCTCTTGCAAATCAATGGTTTCATTTTTCTGTTGTTTAACCCAGCTAGAGTGGACATGCAGCTGAACAGAATTATTCTGCCACCTGAATACTCTCACCATGCAGTCAAGCCACTGGCTTGGATAAGCTATTTGTCCATTTTCTGCACAGAACCCTGCCCAATCAGAGCAGTGTGCTGCTCACCCAGGTCCTGCCCACAGGTCCCTCTGGAACAGTCATCTGTTTCACCATCACACACAGCTCCTGGAGCCAGTGGTTCTAACCTTTTCATCATCAAGAATGCTCCCTCACTGGCGTGCGCCTGTCCAATTTAATGCATAAGGTAACAATGTTGTGAATGATTTCCTTCCTATATAAATCAGAGCCAATTGAAGGCTAGTCCTTTAGAATGCCACCGTTACTACTCGTATTCGCTTCTACTGTATTGCACAGGATAAAGGGGTGAGGCTGGGGGGGTCCTAGCTGGCTTTCAGAGGTTATGTATAACCCTCCATTCTGTACCACTGCTTTCAGTTATTCTCCTAAAAGTAACTGTTAATACATAATAGCACTTACTATATGTCTATTAACTAACTTAACTCTTGCAACAACCTTGGACAATAAGGACTATTATTATCCTATTGAAATAAGGACTATAATGAACTATTATCATTATCCAACTGAAAGATGAGAGATGAGATGGAAGTTGCTGGCACAGAGAAGTGAGGTCACTTGCTCAAGGTCATACAGGTAACAAGTGGCAGAACCACATTTTGAATCCAGGTCCTTCCACAGAGTTTGTGTTGCTCTTAACCACTTTGTTAGAGGAGTACCTACTGCTTCTTCTTGGACATTACATATGATCTATATTCTTACAACTCTGACAAGTACGTTTTCTCAACCCCATTTTACATTAGGATCCCCTGGCTAGTGAATGGTGAAGGCAGGATTTGAGTCCAGACCTGTCTTATGCCCAAGTTTTTATTCTTTGTGATATAATAATATCTCTAGAGGGGAATTACTCTAAAATATCTTTCTAGTGGATTAACTGGGCTATTTTTCTATCTACATCTTGCTTGATGTCAGTAATCCAAATCTAAATGTCAAAGTTATACTCTAAAAGTATAAGTTGAATAAATGGAACAATATCAATAAGTCATGTTTCTTGAGTGCTCACTACATATCCACACTGTTCTAAGGATTTACATAGATAACTTCATTAAGTTTGGCAACAAACCTGTAAGTGTTTAGCTATTTTGGAACTGTAGATTCACCAATCATAAATAATGTATTGTTAAACGAGGACATTCTCTTTTAAAGAGAAAAATAGCTGCTGCTTGTCACAAAGGACATGGGCACACTCAAAACTAAATTTGGTGCTAAGATGTAGTCCCTACATTCTGCACAGCTTCACTGAAACCTAAGTGTCAAGATTATTTCACATGGCCCAAATATGACACGTCTTTTTCTAACCGTTTGAAACCTGAAAAGGGACACACTGCCCTTAAATCTAAGAATACGTCAAATGGAAATCTCGGCTTGAAAATGGAAACCTTCATGTCTTTTGTGAGGAATCTGGTTTAAAAATATTTTTATCAGAGTGTGGGGTGGGAAAGGAAGAAATGAAGATAAAACTCAGCCACGGCTGCTATATTGTAAGGTAACAGTTCTGTACTGAAAAGCTAAATAAATCCTTCGCCATCACCAGGAGGATATACTCCTTGTCTGCTCAGTGGATGCACAGTCATTTTAATGAACCGATTCTGCTTCTCCTGGTTTTAATGACCAAGAAAGGAAAAGTGCCGCGAAACACATCACATATTGGAACTAATGTAGGCATTAAACAGGAGGAATGGCTCAGTAGACAGGGAAAAGGGCAAAGCATATTATACCAAGGCCCCCCCCACACAAGCAGACTTAAGTCCCCTAATGGGCTGATATACATTTTAGGACATTTGGGAATCTGAAGAGTGGAGACTACCGACCTTCAGAGAAATGCTGCAAAGGTAGTAAAAGGGGCCTGAGGGAGTTGTCATTTTGTGACCTAAAATTAGAAGCATATTCTAAGACAGAATCCTCTGAAGCAGGCAGCCCGACTCCCAGCATCATAATGATTAGAGATGCTGGTGTGAACTGGGAACAGGTAAGCATCATGCTGCTTGGTGCTGCACTCCTGCCGCTTACCAGCGGTACATAGAAGATCCCAGAAGATCTGGGCATGAAAGGAGCCGCCCACCTGCCCCTGGCTCTGCACAGAGAGGGAGGGGGTGGTACACCTGACTGCTATAAAGCCAATCTAGTAAAGGCTGCCTTCTAGAGAAGTGGGAGACAGAGATTGTCAACAGCTGGGTAACAATGGACACGGGGCAAGCTGTGTTTCTTCCGAGGTGCCCGATTCTTCCTCGGACCCTCTGGTACTATGACAATGTCACATGGGATAAATAGTCAACACTGACATGTCTGCACCCACCAGAAATGTTATCATGGTGAACAGGGAAATTCCCAGAGCACTCAGTGGGAAAGATAATGATAGACAATGGCATGTAGTCCCATTTGCAAAACTTTACTTTGATGCTAATCATTTCTAACTACACCAATGAATTTTCCCCCTATTCTACGGGTTCGCAACCCGCTGGACAAATCCACATGAAGGCATTTATTTTAATTATAGCCTGATGATTTTATTACTGCTTTCAGTTCCTTTCAGAGCTCCTTGCGCTCAACTAATAGTCTCAGGGTACTCCACTTGCGTTCACTTCAGTAAATGCCACCTCAACATTTCACACAGCGCCCTCTAACTCACATCTGTGGTCATGATCCAGCAGCTCACGTTTTGTGAATGGTTATTTATAGATAAATCTGGGGAGAAAGCCCTTTTTATAGTCGTATTCCCGTCACTTGGTTGGGAAAAATAAAACAAAACACGTAGATCTGAGACTGGGGTAGCATTTCATTTCCAACAGATGTAAAACACCTGTTTACAAAAGCAGTCAATCCTTTTTCATACAAACTTTTCCATGCAATATACTTATTTCTGAAATGTCTTCAAGGTCCCCAGGAAGGAGCTGATCATGAGGCACACCTCCTCCTCTCCAACCAAGAGAATCCATCTGAACTCTGGGAAAAGTTGCAGGACTCACCTGCTTCAGGGATGGGTCCCTAATCCAAGTGAGTGACAGAACATGAAGTGCTCAGAAACATGGTTGTACAAGGTGACTCCCAGCGTCGGGGAACAGCTCCCCCATTCATTCTCCCACCCAGCCCCTGCCACACAGAGCAGGCTCCCCAAACACAACAAAACCTACAGGTGGCCATTCTCTCCAACTCCAACCAATCCCATCTGGAATCTGGGGAAGAGAATGAATTTCTGCTTTGCTAAAGAAGGGCCTCTTTCTTAAGGCCTCTGCAGTTTAGCTTAAGTACAGTGCAAAAAGTTCAGAAGTTTGGACTTGTAGAGATTCAGTAGCTGAGTTTCTTGGGTGTGACCCATTTTTAAATGCTCTTTCAAAGTCTGACTATATTAATAAATGAAATCGTCCAATCATCTAAAAGGAGTAATGAGGGACCTATATGAATACCTATCCTTTAATGTAGGGCACTCTAAAAATTAAGCTGGTAGAAGGAACACTCATCACTTTCAATTTCTTTTCCTTTTTAATCAACTTTCAGAGAATAAGTTATTTTAAATAAAATCACAACAAGTAAAGCCGCCTCTAGGTGGATTTCAAAGAAAATGATACCTCTTTTAAAAAATAAAACAACATGTGGCAAAATTTAAGGGGTCCCATAATCACAGGCCGATCAGGAAGCTGCGAGAAACAATTAGGCAGGGTTTCGAAATGACTGGTACAGGATGTGCCCATAGAAAGAAATGCTGTGCGCCCTGGTGCAGCTGCCAAAGTTACTGCAGCAAAGTACCCTGAACTTTTAAAGGGTGGCATGGGATTACTCTGACCGCCCTCCCCCCCACTCTGGTCGCCTTACAAACACGCTAGCCCCAGAGATATTTGGCGGGAGGGGGAGGGAGGTGATGAGAGGACCAGAGAGCAGGGGAGGAGAAGGGCAGACGGAGGGAGCGGTCCCAGTCCTGGGTCGTTAAGGACTAGAAGGTTTCGCTTTCGTCCAAGTAGGGGGCGAAGAGGTGGCGATAAACTTCCTCCCCCGAGAGCCCCTCGGGCCGCTAGGACAGCAGAAACGCCCCTGGGCTCCCCGAACCCGGCTTCTCCGCGGGCCCGGGAGCGCAGGGGCGTGCGGGTGGGGGGTGCGGGGCGTTCACGATGCCCCCGGGAGGGGCAGCGGGGTGGCGTGGGGGAAGCCCAAGCAGCAGCCTACCTGTGCGGCGGCGCGCTCAGAGCGCGGGGCCCGGCGGGGGCGCGCAGGTGCTCCGGGGCAGCCTGGGGACGGCCTGGGCGAGCGGGAAGTCCATCGAGCCTGCAGGCTGCGCGCTTCCCACAGCAGGGGGTCGGGAGGAGGGCCGTCCCCTAGGCTCCCGCCTCTTCTCCACCCCGCTTGGGGAAACGGCGGGTCCTACGGCGGCGTCGGCAGCAACAGGCACCGTGGCGNCGGCGTAGGCTGCAGTGGGGCTATAGTGGGATGCCATAAGCTACTGTGAGTGGCCAGCAGCCTTTGTGAGCTGCTGTGAGCCATCGGGAGCGGCCGTCCAATGGCCAGCGGGTGACTGATCTGCCTCAGCCGGGAAGAGTGCAATGATCACAATACCAACATGGGCCAGTGAAGTGACGTCCTCCACAACTAGACTGAAGAACAAAAGGACAGCAATTTGTCTGTTCTCCTTCCCTGATTCCCCAATGCTGTTCCCTCCCCCAATTCCCCAATAAAATCTAAAATATATATATTTTAATATATATATATTAAAACAACTACATTCAACTAAAAAATCTGCACAGCGATGAGGTTAAGATGTGCTTCGTTATCAACACATTAAATAACAAGATGGGTCTAACAACAGCCATGATTTTGAGTAGTGATGAATATATATGATATTCTGAGGTGCCTGTGACAACTGAAATGTGACATGAAAATCTGTGATTTCCATTGGTGACAAAGTCATGGGGACTGATAATACTTTTGTGGTTTGTTGCCTGCACTCATAACTAAAGGAAGATCTAAATTTTGGTTAGAACTGCTATAAGTAACTTAAAAATATTTTTTAATTTTCTATCCAAGCTCATCGAATCTCTGGATTCTATGCCCAGACTCACTGGAGAAGCTTTGATCTCAAGTTAGCAACCTCTGAAAAGTCAAAGAGCATGTGGTCTGGGGAAATTGAGCAATTATAAGGCCCCAGGCTCTGAGAGCACAATTTTAATAGAGATGAGAAGACAGAGGCTCAATTGCCACATTGGCTCAGCAAGGAGAGAGGAGGCTCTAAGTGTTGCTATGCAACTTTGTCCCCATCCACATGGCCTATTTCACGACTCCTTTAAGAGAAGGCTAGACTGGTGCCACCTGGGCCCTGTATTAGAGTTCTTATGCTACAGCAGATGCTGCGTCATGGAACCAGGCAAACCCAAAGCNATCCAACAAGAGGACATAACCCTAGTAAACATCTATGCATCCAACATAGGAGTCCCTAAACGTATAAAACAGATATTGACAGACATAAAAACAGAGATCAACAGTAACACTACCAGTAGGGGACTTCAACACCCCGTTGTCACCAATGGACAGATCCTCTAGGCAGAAAATCAATATGGAAACAGTGGCCTTAAATGACACATTAGACCAGCTGGATTTAATCGATATTTTTAGAGCATTTCACCCCAAAACAGCAAAATATACATTCTTCTCAAGTGCGCATAAAATGGTTTATAGAATCCTATGGGACCCCTTCCCCACCCCCACATCACTACTATGTACTTAATGCTACTAGCCTTGGGCCTCAGGCTGCTTAAACCACATGGGCCTTGCTGTTACTCAAAGCTGCCAGGCACATTCCTGCCCCAGGACCATTGCTTTCAGCACTCCCTCTGCCAAGCACACTCTTCCCTCAGATGTTCACATTGCCCCCTATTTCAGTTTCTTTAGGTCTCTGTTTAAATATTACCTTCTCCCTGAGGCTTTCTCTGACCAACCTTTTGAAAATGGAAACCACTGCTACACACACTTCTTATTCCCTTTTTTTGATTTATACTCGTATTTTCTCCATAATGTTTATCGCCCTCTAATACACTATGTTAGTTACTTGCATATCATTTGTCATCTGTTTCTGTCCCCCTCATCTATGAGGAGAGAGAATCCGTTTTGTTCATGGCTGTGTCTCCAATGCATAGAATTGAGCCTAGCACACAGTGGGCATTTAATAAATAAGGAATGAAAATAATTTGTAATACATAACATTTGTGAGTTCATGGAATGTCTATATGGTACCTCCCTTAGATTAGAAACTTCCTAGGTTTCCCTGTGTTTACCCCTTGTGCCCTCATGGGGTTTCTCAACTGCCCTAAGAGATATGTGAGTCCTTCACTTCACCCTGGGTGAGCTGAATGTTAAAGCATGAGGCTCCTTGTTTAACTGTCAATACAGAATCTAATTTCCAGATATACTATAAATGAATTGTAAAATCGTGGAACTACTGAGAGCTCATCCATACTCAATATTTGTCAAAAGCTTGGTTGAGAAAAATATCATTTCAAAGAACTGTCTAAAAGATACAGTTGAATTGGTCCTTCTAGACTCTGAATCCCCTAAATTCAGTTCCTGTGTCGGATCAACCCAAGTGAAGAGCTGTTTGCCTGAACTGCACCCAGAAAAATTTCTTTTATTGAATTGCACTTTGACATTATCCCATTCGCTCATAGTGGGGAAACACATTTTATAAAAATATCTTATTCATTTTCGGGATATTGTTTAACATCTAACACAATGTCTTTTTAAGGAGAATTGGGAAAAAGTTCTCTTAGGACTCTACCAGGAATAACTTTTCTCTCCATGAGGAACTGATGGTATCTCCATCCTTGAACTAATAGATCAAAGGTCAGATTTGGGATCCGTTGCTTGGCAAGTCCTGAGGTCATTTTGTGTAGTAAGTCATTCACAAATGCTCTTTCTAAGCCACTGCCAGTTNGGCCTATTTATAGCAGAGAGCCGGGCCCGCGGGGCTTTCAGCAGGTGGCACTGCCAGCCCGCTCTTCACTGCCCTGCGGTAGCTTCGCCTCGTCTGCACTGTCGCCTTCTCTTCTCCCTTCGAAACGGACGTGGTGAACACGGGACCCAACACAGGAAGGCGACCGAGCCACCTGGCTTCCCCCACATCCCCCCTTCTCCCTATCCTAGAGCTGGATGATGGCAGGGAGTGAAGGGAGGCGCGGATATCCTACCAGGCGCTGGCAGGCAGAGCAGGAGACGCAGGGATTTGGGGAAACTGCAAAGGCTGAAGTGCCCTCCCCTGTGGAACACCAGCGAGCCCCGTTTCTGAACAATCGAGAGGATGACGCAGGGGCTAGACGGGGTGCTATTTCCCTCTCTCCCCCCCCCCCCCCCCCCCCCACACCTTTTCGCGTGCCTACCCTTGGGTCAGGTTTGGGGAAGTTCCCAGCGGCCTTGTACAGTGTACCGAGACACGTTTGGGAGATGTGAGCCAACTGAGATAGCGGTGAGCAGGAAACAGGCAACCCTCCCAAATCCCTGCCCCGCTGAGTAAATAGGGGCAGTTTCACTCGGCAAGGGCTGGGGGGGGGCATATGGGATTGTGGGATCTGAAGAAAGTAGGGTGCCTAGCACCATCTCCAGAGATGAGTGAGCAGGGCTGGGAGAGCAAGAACAGGAAGATAGAAGTGGGGAAGTGGGCAGCAGTGGAGAAACCCATCTGACATCTTCGGGGATTTCTTGCTAAGTGCTGCTGGAGGCCAGCTTTAGGGCAGTGGCAGAGTTTAGACTGGTGGAGTTGGACTTGAACCCTAATCCCAACTCCACCACTGGCCTGGTGTGGCTTAGCTTCTCTTACCTGTAAAATGAGGACCAATACACATTTTATAGGACCATCGTGAGGATAAAATGGGGAAGTGTATGTAAAGGAGCACATACATGGGCCTCAACTAATGGCAGCTGCTATTGTTACTGTGGCTCAGGAGGCAAACACCTGTCCAAGGGGGCCCCTCCCCCCTGCCTCACCAATAATGTATGCCTAGAAGCTGACCCAGGTTCTCGGAGCCTTTTTGATTAGGATTCTCTTATGGAATTCCGGGATCCCATTCCTCTGGATGCTTTTAAGTACAGGGCAGATATATTTAAGTAGGACACAAAAGTTTTATCCATGGCTTGATTTAAAGCTCTCGTAGTAGTGGTAGGTATTATTCATTGAGGGGCTAGTCTGTTTAGGGTATTGTGGTAGGTACTTTACATGTATTGTCTCTAATCCTTACAAAAACTCTGCAGAGCAGAGAGGATTAAATCCACTTGACTAGGGAAACTAAGAGGTTAATGCCTCTTGGAGCCCACAGAACTCGTAGGTGCTGGGACCCAGAACATCCAAGGCCCCTTATAACATACTTGCTTTCTGGCCATTGTGTAGCCCTCTTGTAGCACTTAGCTCATTCTTTGTTATAGCACAATTATTTGTGTACTTAGCTTTAAATTAAAAACAAATGAGTATATACAGATATGAATACTCTAATGATTAGAGCATTCATTGGGTTATGACATTTTCATTAGGTTACAAAACCAGGTAAACAAGTGAAGCCATATTGTTGGTGCTTGGATCACATCATAATTATTTCACATCTTTATCTCCAACTCAGTTGTGCAGTTTTCATTCCTGTCTGCAGCAGCCTGCTGAACATACCTGCTGGGATGTGCAGAGCCATCCATTTCATTGACACCCCTAAACCGCCTTTCATATGAGGTCATACAACTAAGTTCGTGAACTTTTTTTTTTAATATCAGAGGGATTATTCATTATGAATTTGTACCAACTGGACAAACAGTTAACCAAGTTTACTACTTGGAAGTGCTGAAAAGGCTGCGTGGAAAAAGTTAGACGACCTGAACTTTTCGCCAACAATTCATGTCTCTTGCATCACAACAATTCACCGGCTCACATAGCACTGTCTGTGAGGAAGTTTTTAGCCAGTAAACAAATAACTGTATTGGAACACCCTCCCTACTCACCTGATCTGGTCCCCAATGACTTCTTTCTTTACCCGAAGACAAAGGAAATATTGAAAGGAAGACTTTTTTATGACATTCAAGACATCAAGAGTAATATAGTGACAGCTCTGATGGCCATTCCAGAAAAAGAGTTCCAAAATTGCTCTGTAGGGTGGACTAGGCGCTGGCATCAGTGCATAGCTTCCCAAGGGAAGTACTTCAAAGGTGACCATAGTTATACTCAGCAATGAGGTATGTAGCACTCTTTCTAGGATTAGTTCGTGAACTTAATTGTATGACCTGGTACATGACCTCGTACATGATGATGGTTGAAACTAATATTTAACAACTCTGCCTGCTAGGCCTTGCCTCTGGTAGAATGGGTCAGGCCAAGGCTGGGCTTTGCTTACAGAACATTTTGGCCGGAACACCCTCCCATTCTGCCATTCCACT